AATCTAAACTAAAACACAATACTCCACTAGGCGCGCATAGGATGCAAGAACACAACGGAGATTTTGAGGTAGGGGTCACTATCCTTACGCAGGAATCGAAAACATCAGCGCGAAAAACTCTTGAAGCGTTTTGGATCAATGCCAAAAATTCAAAAATGAACCGCAAGGAGGAGTGTCTTGTCATCACGCGTGACCTAGCGCCATACCTCAGGCTGATCCAATGATCTGACATGGACCCAGTTATCGACCATGTATTACTCTGTGCGGCGGCTATCCACCAACTAACTTAAATACTTACGACAAATAAACGGTAGGTGTTTGAATGAAGCTGTTTCTTATGCGAACACAAATCGATTTATCAAGTTTTATCTGCTGGGGTTATGAAAGTGTTTGGCTGAGTAGATCGCATCTCAATTTGACCTTTCCAGGCTCTGAAGAAGGCGAAACCGCCGAAACGTCAGCAATTGTGTTCTAATAAATTCTATATTAACAACCTCGTGTCTGCTTATTGATGAAAAACATTGTACTATTTTTCCAGTTGTATCGGATGAAAATGAAATCAAAGACGTGGAACTCAGCAGAACTGAAGGGGTTCTGTTGATCATGGAACAATTGATAGGAACAAATATGCTTTAGAGGTACTGTTAAAGGTACAGATCCTCGAGAAGCAGGAACAAATCACAGTGATTGACTTTTTATTCATTGCCTGTTATTTTTTATGCGAGGTAGGGTGTTATAAGGGGCGGATATCACAGTGGTAGTGATGTCTATCATCACGAGCATGGTGCGAGTTCCATTCCGCTCCAGGCCATCCAAGCCTCTCATCCCTCCGGGGTCGGGAAATTGGTACCAGTCTTATCTGGGAAAGGAAAATCTGCAATCCAATTGGGGACACTCCAGCCCATCTATCTCAGTACTCCAGGGAGAATTGTTCGGTCGACATTCTACAACGTTCAAGAGGAAATGAAAATCCTTAAGCAACAACCGAGGCCACACGTAAAAGTTGGGAGACCCTTGTGGATGATGGATGCGGGAAAACGAATCGAATATGAGAATTGCTAGGATCCGCATAGCAGACGTGAAGATGGATGAAATAAAATAAACAAAATAAAGAAACGGTATTATGTGAAGTATAGTCACAATGATGGTGAGATATTTGCAAAGCTCGGAACCTCACCACAGCTTTGAACCTGCGTTTTCGAGGTACCCAGGTGTTATATTGCACCACCGAAGCTCTTACTTTGCCTTACTCTCGAGTTGAAGTGGTAATTGCAGGTGCGAAGCTGGTATGAGGTTCCATGTTATGCAGACATCTAAGCATTATTGTGATTGTAGTTCACGTGAAAGGATGAAGGATAAAGCTATTGATGCTGATTATTTTCAGAAGGATGCGCATCGTTAGAGGGTATTGAATGCATATCTGGTCTGTACAATAACTTGCGGTGGCCTAACAATGGATGGAGCCAGTACTGCTGTACTCCTAAACAAGTCTGGTATCAATTTGCCGACCCCTCAGGGATGCAGACTTGGTAGGCCTGAAGTGGGGGAATCGATTCCAATATGTATTGTAAGGTATATTTAAGCACCGCGCTAAGCGCACCTCTTGTTTTCCATATCAGCAGGAAGAACTTAATCTGAGCTGCTGTTGTCCTGTATGTTTAAGAAAGTGGAATCAGGGTGAGCAGGAGCAGGTGTGCGACTTCAAGAGTTTGGGTTAAAGTGCCATCAAGTAGTAACCAAGACATATAAAGTATGCATTTTATGTTCTATTAAAGCAATTGGATTATTAGTTTTCGAAACGACGTGGAGGTTAAATGGTAAACCATAGTTATTTATAAGCCGCAAAATAACTTGAGTGGCAGTTTCTTAACTGAAGCCAGTGAAGGAATTTAATTTGTTAATCGACAATCTATACTGAAGTCTAGAAGAGTAGGCTCGAAAGCTTGTTAAAACAGTTGAGCGGCCAATTTTGGTAAATTCCAACATGAATCTGTTATCAGTGAATTCAAGTCCGTAGTAGAAACTTTTGATGTAATCATAATTTCGGATTTGATGGAGAGAATATTTTTTTTCCACTTCTAGTTAGCAAACACGAGGTGTTATTTTATTTCTTTACTTACGTACAAGCTGACGTTACGGCGGATTTCGTCTTCCTCAGAGCCTGGAGAGGTCAAGTTGACTGCAATCTACACGGCCAAACACCTCCATAACCAAACAGAGAAAATGCTGAACCAAAATTTTATCCACATTGAACACAGAGTCTCTGCACACTCACCCTTTATATAAAGTCGTCCACTAAATATGTCACGTGGAGACCAACTGCACAGAGTTCACATGGAATCGTAGTGTGCCCATCTCATCAAAATAACAGGCTTATATACTGCTCAATATCACGCGTGGTAATGAGGAATTCCTCCCTGCGGTTCATTTTCGGATTCTTGGAATTAATCCGGAATGCCTCTAGAGCTTTGAGCGGTTGAGGCAAATTATGTAATTTTGCGTTGCACATAGACGGTCGTATAAGCGGCTACGGACTAGTTGGCGTCTTAGATTACTCGGTGGCGTTTCAATTATCGTTACCGAATTCTCTAGACCGGCCCTTCTTAAACAGCGTTTTATAACTGCACTTGCTTCATTTAAAATGAAGGGCAGGATAAACGGGACCTTATTGTCGCTAGAGTTATCGCTGGGGTACCTGTGGTTTCCTCTACACCTATCTCGAGCTACAGTTTCGTAGCCAATAAAAATGGCTATTTGCCCCGTCAAGTTCCGGGACTCCTCTCTCTGCTGCTTTCCTGTGCATACGCTGGTAGCTGTTCGAAAGCTAGCTAGCTTGTAGCTTAGCTTCTATTGCATAATTTTCCCCAATGGTAGAGATGGTGACTGCATGAGTTCGGGTACAGTCTATCTGATCTCTTGTAAAGCGTGCGGGGACGAATACGTTGGTCAAACGGGTAGGCCACTCTGCGCACGTATAAAAGAACACGTAGTCGGCAAACGTAAACCAAATACTCCACTAGGCACGCATAGCACGCGGAGACATAACGGAGAAGATTTTGAAGTAGGGGTTACGATCCTCGCGCAGGAATCGAGAACACAAGCGCGCAAAGCTCTAAAGGCATTCTGGATAAATTCCAAGAATCCGGAAATGAACCGCAGGGAGGAATGCCTCATGACCACGCGTGATATTGGGCAGTATATAAGCCTATTATTTTGATGAGATGGGCACGATATGATTCCGTGTGAACTCTGTGCGGTTGCTCTCAATGTGACATATTTAGTGGAAGACTCATAGAAAAGCGGTGAGTGTGCAAAGACTCTGTGTTTAATGTGAATGAAATTTTGGTTCAGCATTTCCTCTGTTTGGTTTTGGAGGTGTTTGACCGTGCAGATTGTAGTCAACTTGACGTTTCCAGGCGCTGAGGAAGGCGAAATCCGCCGAAACGTCAGCTTGTACGTAAATAAAGAAATAAAATAACACCTCGTGTTTGGTGAACAGAAGTAGAAAGAATTATTCAATTAATGCTGAGGTTGTTGTTTGTTTTTTCACATGTAATTCAGGGTGGTAGAAAGCTAATGAAGGTGAGAGGTGTTTGTTAAAAGGAGCTTCTGTGATAAAACACAAGGTAGCCTTGCCATTTTTGTCGACTATAAACCGCAGAATCTTGGTAGGTAGCACTAGAAAAAGGAGCAAAGTAGGTGGTGATCCTACTCTTTCTATCAAAATATTGCTTTATTTATCTTACCAAAACAACGTAGCATCCGGACACGTCCGGGTACCATGAGCGCTGTGAGGTTACATTGCTTCTACTCCCTAGAATCGTTCAAGCCATGTCTAAATCACTTCAGCTGCGGTTCTGCTGCGAGGTCCTAACACTCTTAGCAGTTTTGATTAGAACCTCGAAGGATATTGTGGATATGCAGCAGATTGGAATGAAGCGTTGGTGGATGGCCCTCGTGAGTTTCGGAACGGCAATCCATTGCATTTCAGAAAAACGATTGCTAGCGTTTGTGGTTGTCTTGTGATGCGATTTGTTTCTAATTGTTAATGTTCCTCAAAATATTTTAGAGTGCATTTCCCGAGAAAGTTCTGCACAAAGTCTCTCAGCTAACTTTGCTGCTGATTGTCCCAATTCGTACTGCTTGCTTTATTCACCCTGTAATGCTGCTACTCGACAATGTCATGACAATTGCTGTCGTTCTGATGGCAACAATGCATTTCCTTTTTTATTGCAGGTGTGCAGCGTCGTCTGAGTGTCATCCTGATTCCTTTAGAGCTTTCTTTCAGAGGTATGAAGTTCGTTGGTCCCTTTGTGCTAATGGTATACAAAATTATCATTGGCGATATGCTACGCTTTCTGCTGATTTATTCTGTGTTCGTTCTGGGATTTGCGCAAGGTATGCTGATCGGCTATCCCTGAGAAATCAAAGCTTGCCAAATTTTGAATTTTTTGCTGATGTCTTCTCGTTAACATTGGCTTTAAGAAACCACTGTTCATTTCTTATGCTGTTGTTACTTTTTAATCTATCATGTTTAAGGTGGACTCCTCACTGCCACTTCTATAGTTTTCCGATTTAAAAAATTCTATTGTTTTCACTAGCATAGAATCTTCCCCAAGATATCAAATTAACTACATGGACAAAGTGCTATGAATATGGAATGAGGTGCTACATGATCAGATCTTGCATAAAGTTATTTGGGTAGTTGGCTGCCTCGTTCTCACTCACTATTCCTGTGGCCGCATCACATTGTGATCCACATAACTCGAATTTAGCTACGTGTACGTTGGCTGATATGAGCCACAAGCTGGTCACCGATCTTGTAAAAGCTCTCTCTGAAGAACGCCTGCATTTCCTTGTGGTTTATTCTTTCGCTCACCTCGTCCATCTGTCAACTTCTTTGTTGGTTACATTTCATGAAATATCGTGCAGTAACTGGTTTGTTGTATGCGAAATTCTCCATGTAGTCGAGCTGTCATCCCAAGTCCTAGGTTCCTATTACTGCACTGGGAAGACATTTATGTCAAAAAGATGAGCGCGGAGTTTTGGCTTGCTTCGTCAAAATTTTTCTTTTGCTTTCCAGTGAAGTGAAAAATGACCATTCTGTGAGATTCCGAGCTGATTTTTCTCCTACTTAGATAAAATAAACACTTCGTAGCGAAAAGATTGTGTGCAACTTTCTCATTATTCACTTTTCATCACTCATTACTTTTCATTACTCATTTCAAAACCGATTTTCCTTTAACCTCAGTATGACTAATCAATATGTATTCCTGTATTCTTTCTTTGATAAGCTTACACGGGATTGATACAGAATTTTTTACATATTGTATAATGTATATTATTTTTTCTCATTATATATCCTATATATGGTTAGAAGTTTAATAATTCTGTCGCTCACTGTTTTTATTCAGTTGCAAGCACCACGTTGGTATTATAGCATTTATTTGCACACAACACTACGGCGGCTTTGTCTTCTTCAGACCTGGAAACGTCAATTTGACACCCAATCTACGTAGCCAAACGCTTCATAACCATAGCAAATAAGACCTAACACATAAATTTGCATTCGCGTTATAAACAGCTTCTTTTATGCACCCACCACTTTATGTTGTAAACATTCCTGTTAATTGGAGAAGAAAAGCCCCACAGAGTTTTACTTGCGCGAGGGTTGTACTTGGTTCAGGTAATATAATCCACCTGAAGTACAGTGCTAGGTCACACTTGGTCACAAGATACTCCTCCTCGCGGTTGCGGTTCAATTCTGGATTTTTGATCTTCATCCTTTGAACTCATCTTCGAGTTCATCCAAAACGCTTCAAAAGTTTTACGCGATAATTTTTTTGGGTTCCTGTGCGAGGATAGCGACTTTTACTTTGAAATCTTCTCCCTAACAGTTCTGTGTTCTATGCGTGCCTAATGAAGTGCTTGGTTCAATTTAAATTTACTGACTAGGTGTTCTTTTAAACGGACGCAGAGTGGTTTGTGCGTTTCGCCAACGTGTTCGTCCTCGCATGGTTCACAAGAGATCAGATAAACCTTGCCCGAACTCATACAATCACCATCTCTACCGTTAGGGCATACTATGCAGTTTTGAGTTGCACACAGACGGTCACATATATCTGCAGTAGACTACTGGTAGGAGGTGAATTACACTGCTGAGTAGAAAAGTCATATTCTCTACATCTCGTCGTTGTCTTTTCGAGCCGACAATAGCGCATATTTCGTTTTTGAGGTGACAAGCAGAGTACAGCCCTTCGTTGAATCTTCGTCGTTTGTAAGGGGAGCATTGCGTGTAGTTCGTTGGATTTAGGAAAAGGGGCGAACATACTCTTATGGTTAGGTTGTGCTCCAGCGGAGTGATGGGCGCTGTTTTTGTTTGTTGCAGATAACCTCGAACTCTTATCCACATAGTTCCCGGGCAAAACGCACTGTTTAAGTTTATCCACAAACTGAGGACACTTAATGTAACAGTGCGACTATTCACTTAGCATTCTTAAGAAGATTGATTAAATCCATCTAACAGTGACCGATATGATTCTTTATTGTTATGGAATACTCGCAATGTGTAGTAAATTCATTATCACTACAATTATGGCTATTATTTGAAAGAATTCACAATGCACTTGGAAGGCTTGCAAAACTCTGGACCGCAGGTGTATGCGGTGGGGAACGAACACGCTATTGCCCTTTCCGGGGAGTAGCACGTTCACCACCACACCATGTGGGTCCTTCGTTTCGTGTGTCTCTCAGCTAGTTCTGTCGATCTTTTGCCATCAGCAATCACCCGTCAGCGGTATTGATCTGGGGGGGGGGGGGGGGGCAAATCGGCAACGAACTAGAACTAGCTGAGAGACAGGCGAAACGAAGGACCCACATGGTGTGGTGGTGAAAGCGCTACTCATCGGAAAGGACAATAGCGCTTCCCCACGGCATACACCTGCGGTCCGGAGTTTTGCAAATATCTCAGCATCATTGAAGTTATATTTCGCAATGGATACCCTGTCGTTAAAAAGAGTAGGCAGTAAATAATAAGTTGAAATTAAAATGGAAGACTTTATATAGTGGGAAACTTCCCATTCGGTACGGGCTATCTTTTCGATAGCAGTAGAGCTCTGGGTAAGGTTTTGTGAAAGAACGGTCTCCCACATATGAGCAGCGTATAGATTTGTATTTATAGCTTTCTATGTAATTTTTCATTCATGTCAAATGGCTGAAAAAGACTATCGAAGAGTGCATGGTCTGCGCGATAATGACGACTATAAAGGAAGGTATGGTGTTAACTTTTTCAACGAACGTTTCCTCCAATGTGAACCGATCATCGTTGCAGATTTGAGAATATCATGGGCTCACCTAGAGAGGCACTGATGAGAATGATCATCATGAGTGTTGGAGAGTTCGGTGTTGTATACAGGAATCTCAACGATTGCAAAAGTCGAGTAGCTCTTCAAGGCAAAGTGAGTTACTTCAACTCTCTCTTCCATGTCTCTGTTTTTTTTTCAGATTTTCTTCTCCATTTATGAGCTATTAGTCACTCTGATGTTGCTGAATTTGCTCATTGCTATGATGACGCGAACCTATGAGAAAATAGCTGAAACGGAAAAGGAATGGAAACGTCAGGTAATCGTCGTTGGAAGGTTGACTATGAAAACAATGGTAATAGCCAGACGCAAATCGTGTTTTTGAACGGGAGGTGTACTTCTATTTTAATTAGGCGTCTTAGCGGTGACACGGATGGAGTTTCTGTTTAGGCTTCCGCATTGGTAAACGTAAATGGTTAATAGACCATGTAATGTTCTACCTCAACTACGACGAGATAGAAAGTTCTTTTCCAAGGCGCACATCTCAAACTAGCTATGCACTCTTCCAGTTCTTTCTGTTATAAAATATGACGTCTACATCGCTTCCTTGCCTTAAGTTTCGAAATTTAAGGGAACTTCAGATACTGAAATGACTCTCCATTCTCGATTGAAATGTTTCCATGCATGTTATTGAAGCAGCAGTAACGCATACTGAAGTTTATATCTATTCGAATAAAGTTCGTAAAAGTTGTGACACCTAAATCCTAAAATAATAAGGCTAAGAATTCGCAAAATTCATGTTCAGTGACGTAATAGTGAGAGTCAGTGTTCTTATTCTTCGTAGAAATTTCGCAGTATTGTGGACTAAATATTTCCCGTACCTTCTGAGTTTCAGTGGGCGCAGGTGATTCTGATGCTGGAACAGTCACTAACAAATGGCGAACGGCTGATGGTGATGTATAGCTACTCGCGACCACTCAGAATCGACAAAGCTCGTCGGGCGTTTGTCGTTCGGGTGAAATCCGACGTTAGTCTATTGCCTGTCAAGCATTCAAACTACCTATCCACATCCAGGAAATTTCAGAAAAAATTTGAAACGTCAAAGACTGTCGAATTTTCACAAAAGAAACACAGTATTCACTTGTCGCCAAGTAGTCATCTACATATGGTAGGACTACCGAGATAATTCTGGTTGCTTTCTGTTTTCTTGTTGAGATTGTTTTTTGTTTTCTTGAGAAAATCACATACATCGTTAAATGCTACTACAGTTTCAAGTCTCCCGAAAGGATCCACTTTTTCCTTCGATCACAGACGGACTTGAATACTCTCCATCCCTTAGGGTTTCTATTTCTTTTTCTTCGTTTCTTTAAATTCCTCATAACTAATAAATCGGTTATTTCAAAGGCGTGAAATTTTCTTTCAAACAGATTTATTCGCAAATCTGAATAACGCGTAAATCCTCTGTGAACAAAATTAAATGACCAGAATAAAATTTAGCAATAAGTCAGTTCAGCTCAAAATATTCTAGCGATTCCGAGGCTCCAGTTGCAATCGCATCAACCAGTTGTAGAACAGCTGGACATCTGCTCAAATTCCATGTTTTCAATAGAAATCTGTTTAAAAATGAGCGAGAAAGCAGCGATACGAAACTACAAGAGGAGCCGGACAACAAGTTGCCAAATTATGGGCGTGGACACGTTTCCCATATATTTACCAGAGGTGGAACCCAAAAACAGCTCTGCCATGTATCAATAGCAATTACGCATAATGTGAAGTGAATTCAAATTAGTGGTGGAAAAGACGAAGACCGGTGTGGATAAGAGTGATACCATGCTCGTTGCATGCTTCTATGATGTCGTCATCTCGAACCGAACCTCCAGGATGTGCGACGAACTGCACGCCGAACTGAAATTTATTGTAGTAAATAAATAGGAAGACCACTCCTGGAGCCACCTCAAATCAACGCATTTTAAATGTAAAGGTCTTATTGAACGTCTCGTAACGAGGCTAGTTTCTGATAACTGTTGATAATTCCGTTGTAACTAAAACACTTCAAAACCAGAGGACATAACAGACTTACGGAAAAGAACAATTTTGAAGCCGACCCTCATTTAACCTCGGTTGTAAACTAGTCAAAAAGTGTTTAAATTGTTGAAGTCGGTCTTTCGAGTTATTGTTTTGCTGTTCGCTATGTACTAGCTAACATTATAGAAAAGACTTGTCTCCATCTCGTTAAGAGTATACAGTGTTTATCAATCAATCCCTAAATTAAACCTTTAAGTTCTTGGAGAAATCAAAACAGAAGATCAAGTTTTAAAAATATTCGATGGAAGGGCGAAAGGCACAAAAGCTGAGCATAGGATTATTTGGAAATCCGACATTAATTCCCATGCAACCCACTACACACTGGGGAACAATATCACGTCTTTCTGGACGAAATTTCGTCTCAGCTGTCCTCATCTTCAAAATGCGAACTTCAATGAAAGGAATATGAAAATGACCCGGATGAAAAAAACTGACAATATGAAATTATGGTTCTGTCGACCATGGCAGTAATTTCATTTCAAGAACAAGCTTCTTACATGGACTGAATTCTCATGGATGCAGGCTCAAAATGTATCCAAACCCGCTTACGAGTAATGGTCATGTGCTAACGGAAATAATGAGAAATATGCTAAATTTCCTACAACATCTGATGGCGTGCATAAGGCAAACAAATCGCCGTCAGCACAACGGAGCTGTCAGCCTTCTCGAAATTAAATTCTCGTGTAGGGGGGCAAAGGACAAAGCTTTCGGTGCTGACCAATCTCTGATGAACGCATCGTGCGATCTCATCAAGCCTTGTAGAGGCAACTGAATGCACACCTTTCCTGTACAATGACTGACTTGCCGGCAATGACTTGCCGTTGCGTAGCGATATATCAACTCAGTGTTAACTTTCTATTTGCTGCCTACTACAACTTTTCACTGCAAGGTATTATGGCAGATAGAAAACTAGTTGAGAGACAGGCGAAACGAAGGGCCCGCATGGTGTGGTGGTGAACACGTTATCCCCGGAAAGGATAATAGCGTGTTTGATCTTCATCGCAAACACCGATGGTCCGGAGTTGAGAATATCTTAGCATCATTATGGTTATCAACTCAGTGTTTCTATCCTTTAAGACAAGTTTGGTACTAATTTGCAAACTCCGGAGGGATGGAAGGTTTGACGAGACAAGGGTGTGGGATCGAAGCTACGAATGGTCTATTGTGTAGTGCACGATACCTCTAATCACCGTACGCGCTTCAATACAAAATCCTTGTGTAAGGATAGAATATTTGCTGGCGCTTTATACACCAATGACATACATCGATGAATCCTACATGTAAAGATGACTTTGGACGGTTTACATATTCCTGTTCACCAGGTGGTTTCGAAGTGTTCTCTTCTCTGAGTGCATTGTACATTCGAAGAAGTCTTTTCGCGTGTTTAACTTGCTGCCACATAAAGAAATACACGATGGGTCTGCAGCTACAACAAGCTGTGATCAGTAAATCAAGGGAGATCGGTGCTCTAACCTAAGTCGGATCTACTGTCTCTCTTAGCAAAGGTTGAGGATGCACAGGTGCATTAACACTCCGTAAGTGAGAATTTACCAAAATGTTAAAATGTTTACCAAAACACAAATTTATCGTATTTCCCCTGAATTTTTAAAAAATATTTACAACGAAAGCACCACGAATTCGTATTTGGACACAATATAGGGTTACTTCTGCTAACTCCCTTACTGATTTATCTGTACAACTTTTGTAAACTAACTACCAAAGAAATCTTTCACAACTCACAAGTAATAAAGTGTACTGACACGTAATCTTATGAGTGAAGGGCAATGATAAGAAATATACCTGTTTAGCACAGTCAATGTTATCCCTAAACGGTAGGAAGGCGTCCGAACTCATCACTACTCCGCTAAGTTTCGCTATCCATTCCCTTCGTTCCTCCTAAAAGAATGATAACCTAGAATGACGACAAAAGCACAGCTATGGATCAAACTATGATGGAACCTCAACTGTTATCTCATACTGAATAATCGTGTCAGTTTATAACATTGTATGTGAACAAGTACCAGGACCAGGTGTATCAATACCAGGACCCACCACCATCCTGGTATCAAACTCGCCGCATGGTGGCAAATCTCCATCTGGTCTACGAGCGTGGTGGTGACGACCCGGGACTTTCGCCAGACCAACCTCGGGACTCTAGGGAACCACAAGGACTAAGCCAACAAGACACCGAAAAAATGGAAATATTGCTGGGGAACACACAACCAGTGAGGACCGGCCGTGATATCTAAGTATCTGAACAAATATGCTGAACAAAGCAACAAGTACCTAGGAAACCACGTTCATTAACTTAATGGAGGCGCATAATTGAATTGGCTAGTAAAAAAAATAGTACAGAGGTCAAATGACACAACAAGAATGTGACTGTGCACATGATTAAACTTCAACTACGGGATCTTTGACTCTCTGCAATCACTTAATCGGTAATGAAAGCAGGAAAAAAACCGGGAATTTCTCTGATTAAACTCATGATCAGTGTTCACCAAAACATCACCTCAGTGCTCAAGAAGACTTTTGTATGAGCACAAATCAACATTTCCCACGTTGACTTTGAACGTCAATAATTTCGATACTTTTCTTACAAGAGAACTAGGAAAAAATCACCTGGTTAAGTGGATCGATAGATCCCACAAGGCTACTGAAGTACTATCGTCTAGCAAAGTTTGCGACAAGATGCTTTTGCGCGCAAACCGATATAGACGCATAAGTACAACCGCACAGGTCCGACAAACGGAATAATATCAATTGACAGTGAAAGGCGTTCGCTCTTTCTCTCCATTCTGCTTTTAGGGGTCACCCTAACTAGCATAATTGTATTTAGTCGAATTTAAGGATGGAAAACAAGAGTCGTGATGCATAAAATAGCAGTCAACGTCTTCAACTTTATTTTGGACGAAGAAGGCGCCAGCTGCATTTTTTAAAACCGACTTTAGTTTAAGCTTAGTATGAACGATCATTATATATTCTTTCATTGACAAGTTAACATAAAATTTTTATTCGGCTAAGGTCTCGGCGTCTTCTCCTTCCGTGGAGCTGGAATGATTAGAAGTGTTTGTAAACAGCCGCTTCAATCCTGCGAGATAGTTCTTCTCAATCGCATCAAGTCGAATGCAGTGAACTGAAGCACCGTTTGAATCAAATAAGCTCACGCGGCAGAGCCGTTTTGAAGAATCAACGAACGGCTCTAGACACCAACTACAGTCAAAACCACACGACCTATTTGAGATCAATGCCACCACTTGCGCTGATTTTAACGAATGTTTTCACATTTATACACATTTTTCGCAAAAAACTTTCTTGCTATGCTTTTTATAGATAATCAACAGTTTACCTAACACTGATGCTGTATCATATGTCCCCGTGGAAAGAAATATTTTCTGTTTATAATTGACAATTTGCAAAAAACCGTTCTTGGTACGAGTTCGTTGCTTTGATTTGAGTCACGCGGCTGATGCTAACATGTCTGATATCTCTCGCACAGTAAACTTCGATGCTTAGAGACATCTTATCGCTGCGATAACACGGTAAACTACTGAGAGAACTTCTATGGATGCAACTGTAGCATTTAAAAGAACTAAGGGCACATGCAATGCGTATTCTTCACCGTGTAGAAAGCAGCATCTTTGGAAATTCTATACTTTCTCAATTCTTCTTCTCTTTTTTCTCTTTTTTTTCTCTTTTTCTCAACCCACATTTTACTGATGTTGTAGGTATTGCACGCAGTAGCATTTATATGTACAATTCCTAGCAATTAGCATATTTTACATGACATTTGAAATTACCACAATCCGCAAATTCATCAGTGCACCCTTCCTAAACACAGTACCTTTCAAAACCTTTCCATCTCTTCAACAATTGGTGCCTTCTATTATTCCTCCTTGTCCTGTACACCTATCGTTCTATTCTGCGAGATGGTGCCAAATATAAGCCATAAACAAACCATAAAACTGCACTGGTCCTGTCCATCCAAATAGGAGCAGTTGGCCCACTCCAGACTGATGATCGATAGGTAGGGCGACCACTGTTTTATCAATCGCCGTTGACTCCACCATTACTACTATTATCGTTGCTTACATCACGTTCACTTTCTTCAAATTAGGAAATGGATAGCACCAGAGACTTTTCATTGCCCACAGAGTCTTTAGTATGTTCTTCTTTACCCTCGATAGAGAAGCGATCGAATAGATGAACATAGATGAACGTCTTCTAGCGACTTGATTTAGTCATATAGAAATCGAACTTTGACCATTCTATCTTGCAACTGACCCTATCTATGTAATTATTACGAATTACAATTGTTGAGCAGAGGCAAGGTCGGGTGCTGCTGTTTCGATTCGATGGTTGACAATTTGACGACTTCGCTTTCTTCAGAGCCGTTTTATAAGATGTAAAACTACGCGTACGTTATTCACGTGGGATCTATCCCATGCAATGAAAAAAAAATGAAACTTTCTGGGTTGATCTACATGTTGTATATTTGATGTATTCGACTTCATTAAGCATAGTTAAAGGTGAAGGGTGATTGAACGTATATCTGGCTTATATGATGAATTGCGGTGATGTTCCCATACATCAAGTCAGTGCTGGAATCCCTCAAACGGGTCTCTTACCAATTCGCCAGCCCCAGAGAGATGGAATTTTTGGTGAATCCGAAGCGCACGATCGAACCAACGATAGCGTGTGTATTGCAGTGCATCTCTAACCACTACGCCACACGTACCCCTATCTACCCCACAGAATGAGAAATATTATAAAAATACACTATAGAAGTAATATATACCACTATATAACAAATAACTAAATTCTAATCTATATTGTAGGAACCACTACTAAAATGCGAAAACATCTGCTTTTCACAATCAGACGCAAGAGATGGAAATGTTCAAAAAAGAGGAAAAGTGCATAAAAGACACTGAGGACATTCAAAAAAACCCAAAAAAACAGTAATTGTTGTTAAAATACGAGAGAAAATCGTGTCATACACAGTAAAAAAAGTATGATCATTTTGGGAGGAAGCAAAACTAGCCGAATGCATTGAGCTCAGTGCGCACTGCGCAAGGCGAAAAAACAGGCATAGGCTTGTGCTGTCGCCAAATAATAGTAGGTCTCGTAACGTTTATGTTAAAAATATGTATCCGTTTAGCGTTGAAGCCATTTTCGTGTAATAAATGACGGTTGATAGGTGGTCCACCTTTTCACATATCATCAACAAGAGTGGGAAACTCTCGAAATGATTTTGCATTGTCGTTGGTTTACTTACTCGACAATCCAAGTGGAAAACATAGCATGACTGACCTGCCGACTTGCTGTATTGTTTTCAGGATATTAAAACTCTGAATAACCGTTTAAGGATTGTTCATTAGCGAGGAATTCTCCACAACTGCCGATAGGTACACATTACAAATATGGCACGAAATCAACTGTAAAAGAGAAAAGCATGTAAAAACATACAGGAGTGAGCAGACTGACTGGCTCTGTGAAACACTGCTGCCATTGGTCAAGAGAAACCTGAAAGGAGAAAACATATTGCAAAGCGAATCGCGAATGAATCTAATTACCAAAATATTTATAATGGTACGACACGCATCGACTAAGTAGGACTAGGTCAAATTTGCCAATTTTTATTTTTATCAACGTGGAACACTTATTAAACATAAGATGAAGGGTTCTATCAAAACTGAAGCTCACGATAAATGATAATCGCTTAAAAAGAGTTACATGAAAACTCCTTTATTTACCCATTCTTGGAACTTACGAGGTTTCCGTAGATGAGCTAGCATATATGAAGAAAATTCAGCACCTTTCCTACCTTTGTGCTGCGCTATTCATTTCAAAAATAGTTGTGAAAACTTACCTCATTTCCAAGAACGCCGGAGCACAGCACATCGATAGCATTAGACTTTTCTGCCCGTCGAACAGTCGCCTTCCATGGAAGTGCTAGCACCCGAGGATGCTGTCTGAGCCACCTGAAGTAATTACAGAAATTACAAGTGCACTTCGATTAATTATGTATATTCGCTTGATTAATTAGAAGATATGGTCCGTGATAAAAACACTGACTGGTATGGAGACTGTTATATGGTTTGAAAATAAAACCCTCTTTCCGAGGCCTCCAAGAAAAGCAAGTCAGCGCATGCAACCACAATAACAAGAGCGATAATCATCTGATAAGGAACATAGTGATTACTAATAACTTTGATAGACGGGGTTCATTATGGGCTTATTCAAAACTTGCCACGAATCAAGGCGTATGGCAGAGAGTCGTGGTAGACAAAACGATGCATACACTTTTTACGAACAGATGAATTGACCCTTCCATGTACATTGATTATCATTCATTATGTTGAAGACAGCAAGTGATTTGCAACCAAATAACCCGTTACACTTACACTTTCAAATGTTCTTTATGAACACTACAAGTCAGAGCCGAGAGAGCGAGCACAGGTGATCGTCCTACACCCATTTAGAAGAGATAAGAATAGAACGCACACACAATAAATGTTTGCTTTAGCGAAGTCAACTGCTGTATACTATGATATAGAAATACATTTCCAGACAACTATCAAATATTTCCGAACTTCGGAAAAGTATACAGATGACCCATACCACCTACTACACCCTAGTACCAGGAAATATGTAGTGCCTGTTTACCAACAGGTTTACTTTCGATAAGGACAAAGCACTATTCTGTGCTTGCACATACACACACTGAGTCTACTAAAGAATAAAACAAGAAAAGAAGAAAGAACACTACCGTAATAAACAAGGCGGATTATAGCGCTCCCCAGTCAAACCGAGTGCACAATGCCATATCCATACTAGCATCAAAGCTTTCAAATTCAGACCTTATTATATTTTACAACTGTTTCCAAAAGCAGAATTGACATGCGAAACACCAGAGCTTTTAAGGTTTTTCATTTCCACTTCTCGTGGTTCAGCAAAGCCCTATGCGATCTCACCTTTAACGGCTTAACTCCATAATACATTAGAAACAATCAGAGTGTTTTCACATAACTGCGAAGTGAACTCGTGACAACGATCGCGAGTTCCCTGATAGAGATACCTTTGTGCTTGCTTTGTTTAGTAGAAGAGATCCGGAAATGATGAGTTCGTTAGAAGTAGCTGATTCAGCAGGGCGTGGCGTGTTGACAGAAACTACGTGTTCAGATAAGTGAATGAGTGGCTAGGCCTGCTGATACGACTCTCCATTCCTCTTTTCACATGTTTGACGGAAATGGCATGTGTGTTTTGCACACATTGTAATTTCAACGTCCTTTCGAAAATCGATCGACATAGACATCCTTTTCTCTCCTCAGCAATTCATTCATTTTCTAGAATTCGGAGATTTTGAAACGGTCACATTCATGGAAGGGGTTGTTACACTCATGCCACCATCTGGACTTATATATATATACATATATATGTGTATAAACATACATACATATATGTACATATAAATATATATATATATACATATATGTATGCATATCCACCACGAACTTCCAGCCTTCTTCCTTTCCTCTCGATCTCAAGTTGCTCCTACCTTCTTTATCTCTACAATTTCGTTTCCAGTTCCAGTTGCCATAAGACCACACAAATTTGCCGACGCAACATATGATTCCTTCATGAACTGGATATGCTTACGCGATTTGCCGTGTTTGTGTTGCTCGGTATTGGCGATTGCCTACTGATGTTCGACAGAGGTTTGCCCTCCGCTCATAAGCCATTGTGAAATCAAACCGAAAGAATATTTTATAGGATCAAAAAATTACATACGCTAAGTTCGGCCATGTAATCCAAAAACGTCGTGGTCGTTCACATTCGAAGTACACGGTCTTATTGGAATTCATGGCCTCGAAAAACATGACATCCATCAGGCCGCGAACTACTTGCCGATGTCCAATAAAAGTGTAAAAACTGCGAAATGTCTACCTCGTTGCTCGCTGTTTCATTTTAACCATAGATATCTTATAATTAGTTTGAACTGGAACAAATAGAACGGAATGCGTTGAAATTGCATGATTCAGTCACATCCGAAAATGCCTGTCTTCTGGCTATGTGTGACGCGGACTCCGGTTGTGTGCCGAAGGGATGCTCTGTGGACCAGAACAATCGGATTGGTTGCGGATATTTCCGATTGAATATTTATCAGTTCAGGGTGAGCAGTGAAGAAATTTTACAGGCGACTTACGCCATTTTACTCTAGATTGCCGACATCATAAAATCCTTAAGAGCTCCTCAGCAGAAAATCTTCTTCATATATAAAGCTTTTCATTGTGAAAAATTCCTTTGATGACTAAGAAATTCAACGATGTTGTCTTAATGCATATGTCAGATATGATGATATTACACGCAACGATCAAGTGGAAACCTTCTGAAAAGCCTAGCATCTACTGCAAAATCGTAGTTTCAAATATGCTACATACTAATTGGCAGAAAACAGTCATTGATTCCTCTACTATGAGAACGATTTTCCTCCACAGAGAAAGTGGTGACTGGCTGGAGATATGTTGATAAATAGCCGACACTTTTGGATACAATAATTTTTACACCAAGTAGTGGGAACTACATCCTTGCAGACATAAGCAGCAGTCTTATAGAATTCAAAAAATGTACGTTACTCGAAAGCGGATAACTATCCAGTAGAGTGTGGATCATCTTCAAATGTTGGAATAAGAATGCAAAATTAACGATATACCATGCTCAGTTTCCTTCCAGCAATGCTATCAGCCAGGAAAACAGGAAGACGAAGACGAAGAAGTGGCATGGATCAAATGTGCTGAGAACTACACGTGTTCTGCGGAATGTATTCGAGTAGGTCCGCCGAATTTATGTGGACCACAATAAATCAAAAAGCATATTGAACGATAGTTCGGATCATCAACGTTGGTGACTCGTAGAGTTGAATCACCGAGCTTGCAGCTGAGGACTTATAAATATCAACCCAGGTGCTCGGCAGCCGTTTCCGAGTGAAATGCTACGGTAAGTCGGACTGCGAAACTCTAGCGCGAATTCACGACGGCGGAGCAAATGGATGTCGGGACAGGTATGCAAGATTCTCACTCTGTAACTTGACATGATACACAATATATATGAGCAACCAAAACATCGATAAACACTACTTTCCTAAATACCTTTCAAACAATACATTTTTTTTATTGATAAGCTAGCATGTTTAATGTTAGCCGAATAAAAGCTCTATAATATCTTCGCGTTGGCTTATTAATGAAAAAGAGGAACATTGATTGCTCATTCTAAGTGAAAATGATACTACAAACTAAAATTGGTTTATGAAACTTTTTTTTGTATCGTTTTAAAGGAACGGAACAGTAATGTTAATAATAACAATAATAATAATGATAGTAATAACAATGACAAGTAAAAAGAGATGAAGCTCTCGGCTTTGATTAATCCCTGAGGAATGCGAGATGCATTCGACTTCCTTAGAGCATCATTAGAGGCGACTGAATGCATCTCTGGCTTATTCAATGACTCGCGGTGGCCCACCGATTTACCGAGTCAGTGCTATTATGCTCCATGACAAGTCTAGTACCACTTTGCTGACCCCGAAGGGATAAAGGCTTGGTGAGTCTGGGGCGTGGAGTCGATCTCATGTATATAGCAAGGCGAATCTAACCACTAGGCTACACACGCTCTAATAATGACAACAATAATAATAATACTAAAGATAGCCATGTAACAATTATAATAATGACAACAGCAGTAAACAATGAAAGAATTACTGTAATAGCCAATAATACTTGATACTTGGTACTTGAATAGCCCATCCTCACTGGTTGCGCGGCCTCAGCATATTCTTCAATTTTCGTAGATTTGCTGATTAAGCCATTGTGGTTTCCTGGAATCCCGAGGTTAGATTAGGCAAAACCTGTCCCATGTCTTCACCACCACAGGCAGTCGCAGCCCTTGTGGATCAGAGCGAGATTTGCCATCGCGACACTTTAATACCAGTACGGTGGTGGATCCTGCTAATGGTTTACTCTTAGCCAGACTTGGTGATGGAAACGCCGGACTCCTTCTCAGCTTGGGAGACACTGCCAGGGGATGAATCCCTCCGCTGTACAACGCAGCCCGACGCCTAGGAAGACTTCCCAGCCACGATGAGGCAGTGAACCGCTGGGAGGAACAACCAATAATAATAACAGTAATAGTAATCTGACAACAATAATTTATGAGAATCAGAGAAAAACCAAAAATTGAATTTTGTTTATTGGCGGTCGAATGAGGACTCTCAATCTATCTCATAGCGAGTAGTGTTCGTTGACTTCCAACGCGCACTTTTTAAGGTCTAGTTGAAATCAAAACCAAAAAAGATGTTCAAGGAACACGGCTTTCTACTGGAAGAGAGTGGGCGACATCTGCGGAGGAAGATGCAATAAGCCGATCTTTGTACGACATTGAGATCAAGGAGAACTTATCTAACCTGTCTGTACATTTTTAAGAACGAAAACTTTGTGAAAATTGGTAAACATTTGAATCTTTTGTATAAATGTTCCTGTGTGATGCTTGTCTTCCAGAGAACCTCCTTCACTCTAGTGATAATTCGGAAAGGCGCACAATTAAGCGATACGCATGAAGGACAAAATATTATGAAGAAATAAAACTTGTTTCGACACGCTCTGTCTTCGAACTTAAAATGTTTGCTCTTTTTTCAATTTAAAAGAGAAGATCCCTTCATCCCGTCGTGTAGTGAATGTAAAAGAACTTTTCATAAGATACAACTCTCGGCAAGTTAATATAATTATGTTTCTCGAATCGTCCGCTGTTCGTCCTCTCCAAAGTAAACAAAAGAACAGTCCTAGTTGATGGTTATTCAAGGCCTACGAAAAAGGACTTCAATTTCCAATGTGCGATGGAACACAAACAGTGCTACTCCAGTCCACGATAGATGATGGGACCCGTTTTCAAAAACAACGCACTTATGAGATGTCCTAATCCTACTTCCCATATGGTGTAACAGTAGTGGTGGTTGTCGGGTGTATGGAAAAGGACTCACCAGTTGCAGGCTTTCTCTCCAGCCAACCGCGTGCAATGTATCCGTGACTGTTGCCCAGCTCCAATACCAATCACCTGAAATCCTCTTTTTCTGTACATTTACATAGTACGCAAATAATGTCGATGCGCATGTAAATACCAACGTCCATCTAACTCTAGAGATTCTAGAGAAATTAGCAAAATCTACCCCTTCTTACTATACGTGTTTCAAGTGACAGGTGAGGGAGAAGTAAGTCTAATCAGCTGATCCAGTTCAATTCAGCGTTTTCCAGCAAAAAGCACCAGCATCACATAACTGTCTCATGAGGGCAAATTGTTCAGACCTACCTGTCCACGATTTGCAAAGCATACTGTATTTGATTGGGCGTACTTCAGAGCGATTGTCGCCACGATCAAATCGTCCGTCGATTGCTTGCTCAGCTGTAATCCGTACGGTTCATGTAAAGAAAAGTAAACTAAGGCCGAATAACCTGGTTTAAACATGTCCTTTTCCTCAATAACCCTAGTCTACACGGCGGTAGTGCCAATTCGACAAAGACTCGCATTCGAAACGTTGTTCGATGGAAGCATTTTCGTTAAAATGCTCAGTACATTTATTTGAAAGTGGTTTCACATTTGAAGTTTTTTTGGAAAATAGTAGAAGGACATAGCAAATAATTCGAACTACCATTTCCACTAATAAGTTTTGTAAACTTATTTAACACTAATCGTCTTCTACTATGTCACAATATTTTTCACAAAAATATGACTTTCTCCGGATATTTCATGTTTTCGAGCTTAAATTTAAGAACACGTTCATGAAAACTACGGAAATTTATTAAGCACGCCGTTCTTCCAGTGCAAAATTGGGATTCTTACATATTAAAGCGCGCCTTATACCCCCACTACGCTTCGTGGTGGTTCCGGACCGATTCCTAATTCACAGGCGATAGGTCTGCTTTCCTTAAGCGGCAGAACCCCTATCAAAGCTTTCGACATGCAAAGTGTTCGATGGCGTTTCTGTAACTGACAACTCCAATGCAGCGTATCAACTTGACAGAATAAAAATTTCCTTCCCGAATTCGACTCAACTTACTAATCGTGAGTTAAAGAGTCATGGGACAGCAAATCTATAGGGTAAAGGATAAAAAAGCTCTCGGCGTTGATCGATTCCTGAGGGATGCGCCATGAATACGACTTAATTAAGCATTGTTTGGAGGTGGTTGAATGCATATCTGGCCATTTGCAATGACTCGTGGTGGCCCCGATGTATCGAGCCTGTGATGCTATCCTCCCAGACAAGTCTGGTACCAATTCGCCAACCCCAGGGGGTGGAAAGATTGGTGGGCCATGGGCGCGGAGAACGATTCCACGTGTGCGTTGCATGGCGCCACACGCGCCTGTTGTTTTATGGATATTTGTGGAATAAGGTAAACAAATTCGAAATCTTAAGAAAATCAGTGTAGTTACTATCCTCAAAGAGGAAACAAATATCGTTTTGATGACTAACTAAAAGACCAAACAACGTTGAATAAAGAAATAGAAAAGGAAACTTTATGAATGGATTAAAGCAAGCTAGCGAAACGAATATGTACTTCGTACAAACATAGCCTACTTTCTTCTAATGATGGTACCCAATGTGGATTGAAAAATACTTTTCTATTCCAGCTTTCTTTGATTTCACGCATCATTCCGTTGACCATCAGTTATCCAACTATTGCCAAGTACCAAAGTTTCAATGAAACAATTTACAGGCCAGTTATTAAAATTGACTTGTTCATTTATGCTCGAATAATCGATCACTGACGTAGTTGTGCTTTCCGACCACGGTGCTGAACGTGCTGGAGTCGATTCTGGCATTGTTGCGCTTCTGCCGAAGTCGTAGGCCAAACACAGTTCTCTCTTCAGTTTCAGTAGGGATATAATTTGGGTTCACCTAGATGCTATATTGTACGTGCGCTTAATTATGAGATGGAACTATACTACAGTCATCAAAATGAAACTAAGTCTAAATCCTAAAGGTTGCGTTAAGTTCCTAGAAGCTCTAACAAATGAAATGCAATACCTTTAAGATGCAATAGTTGCCATTCTTCTTCTTTGCCAACAAAGAAAGAGCAGCAGCGTCAAAATCGGGAGCCACAACACCGTCGGAAACCTCTCTGAATAGTATATTCATGAAAAATCTTAACATTTGGAATGTACACATACGGTTTCTAAAAAAATCGTAAATTGATTTTGTCAAAAAGGAACTTTTATAAAAATCAATGTACGCACGCTTGGACCATGGGAGCACAAAAATGCCGAGAATACAACTTGGTAGTCCAAAATCGTAATGAAAAGGTATTAAAATGTGAGAGAAGTCGAGTAAAATAGTCGCAAAGCTACATGGTACATCCCAATAAATGGCGGCTAACCCAGAATTAGCAGCCACTACATATCACAGCTACCCTAAGGCGCTAAAGGTGAAGGAAGGTGGAATCCCTGCCATCGAACTGACTCACAACGTCAGTGCTCGCTGTGCATAGATGCGTGAATTTGCATGTCTGTATGCGGATTGTGCACTTCATGTTGACTCAATGACTGGAAAGGATTTGGAAAGCCGTGGGTAAAACATAACAAACAACCCCAACTTTCCTCAAAAACAAAGCGAGTTAACTGGCTCTGACCATAAACTCTCAACACGATACTTCCTAGTGAACTGCGTGTGCATATCTTTCTTTAAAAACAGCAAAAACAAAGCGCATCATATGAAAAGTTCAGTACTCGTTCTTTCGTTTGATCAAGCCGGACATAAAGAGTTGCTCCGGTAGGCGACGGGGACTTTGTATTTGCTTCTTCAAGTCATTTCATAACTAACGGAATTGCAGGAGATTACCAAGGTCTTAATGAGTATCAGTCCCAAGAGCAGCTTTCTGCTAACCTCCGCATTTATGAATAGCTCGCTATGTTCGCGGATAGCACATGTTCGTGTCCAATGCGCGCCTATAGGGTAATTTGTTTAGCTCTTTGTTTACCGTCTAGATGTTCTTTTATAAGAAGAGTTAGTTTAGTTCTCTACCCTTTTTGCTAATGTATTCGCACCTGCTCGCTTTACAAGAGATCAGGTAAACCGTAGGCGAACTCATACACCCACCGTTTCTACCGTTAGGGCAAACTATGAAATTTTGCGGTGTGCATTGACGGTTATACAGGGGGTAGTTAACTAGCCGGTATCTTAGAGTGTTCGGTAATATTTAAAGCACTGCCACCGATTTCTCTACACCTGTCCCTTATAAGAAGCGTGTTATAGCTTCGCTTATTCCGTTGGAAATGAAAGGCGGAATAAACAGCACATTGTCCTCGCTAGACATCGTTTAGGAGCCATGGTTCTTCCTTTAAACCTATCTTGAAGAGTTGTTGTTTCGCAGTCACTGGAAATGGCTGTTTGCCGCGCCAACTTCAGGGTTTCTCCCTTCTGGTCACTTCCTGTGCAAATACTGGTGGGGAATCGAAACACGTTCCTCACAAGCTTTCTTTTGTTTTTCGGTACTATTTGGTGATGTAGCCGTCTTCGGATATGTTAATGTGAGCGCTCAAAAATACATATCAGTTTTATTTCGTTTTCTTCCGAGAGAAATTAATGTACTCCGACTGCTCAATCAACAGCTCAAAATATTTGCCCATCTCCTCTTGTGTGGAGCAGATGATGAAACAATTACCTATATACGTACATTGGTACAACATCAACGTGATCTTTGTCTTATCCAAAAACTATCTCTACCTGTGTATAATTTTCGCAGTGAGTTCGTCACATTTCTCCGACAGTGCAACAAAATCGCCGAACGATGACATTCGGTCAGCTCCTGAAATTCGGAAATACGTGGGTTTCAAACTTCTTGTAAAAAAGCTCTATACCGGGGCCTGCATAGACAATAGAAAATGCGAAGCTCATCATCGTTCACCGTTACAATTAACGACAAACACGTGAAAGACACTAGCAGCCTACCAAGAATCACCATCAATTTGCGGTCGTTTTCAGAATTCCACGAGCAGTACTGTTCTCAAGCACAACAATAACTCTTTAGCATTGAAAAAAAAACTAGAAGAACTTTAAGATGAGATTCTGGAAACAAACAATATAGCATCCCTAGAGGTTTCATCTGCTTGTTTGTTAGCTTGTGTGAAAAACTCAGGCACTTCATATTTTGAAGCGCCTTCATTGTGTTGATATTCCACAAGAAAAAATCTTTGACGATTTGAATGGCTCCGCCTTCAAGAATCGCGCGCGCGCACCAGAACTCATGCTTAAGAGATCTTGCTACTAGGATGAAATACTGCTAGATGACTGATGGCATTGGTAGATAGAATACTAGCTGAGAGAAACGTGAAACGAAAGACGCGCATGCTGTGGTGGTGAACGCGTTAACCCTGGAAAGGGGAATAGCGTGTTCGATCCCCACCGCAGAGACCTGCGGTCCGCAGCTTTGCAAATATCTCAGCATCACTGTAGGATGAAATACTTCAACTGCTATTTGATGAGAATATCCCATTCTTAGGAAGAAATACGCTTATAAGATTTGATGTGAAAATCTTCGCCATTCTGTTGCAGCATAAAATGGTTGGTTAACGATAGGACACCGAATTTTGCATTAAGAGTATGTGAATTTGAAGATCACACATTAAAAAATCGATCAAAAATTCAAGAAATAACTAAACAATATGAAAAAGAGGGAAATTTATTGCTAAAGACTATGGTCACTGACGCAGATAATATGACCTGCTGTTTTGTTCTGATGTTTTTATAGTTAGCAAATAAAAAGTTAAAATGTACTGATTTCAATTCGTAGGTACCGAAAAAGAATCCTACCGCACAATTATGATCGAATATGTCTGTGTACATAATGAATCAATTAAAGTTAAGATGAATAGGTTTACAAATTTTTTTCAATAAGCCGAATTTTCTTTCTCACCGTTACCGCAATAAACTCTTCGTGAACCAACCAGAACAGGAAATGTGGCTGATTCCACAGACTTACTATGCCGCCACATTTCAAATCAAAATTTATAATAACATCCAATCCACTCAACCTACTGTCGTCTACAATTGACAATTCCACAGATTTCATCGATTATACGTTATTTTGTGTTATTGTGCTGTTATTACGCTATTTTGTACTACTCCATTATCACGAGCACGGTGCTGATCCGACCTCGCTCCGGGTCCACAAAGCCTCTCATCGTCTCTAATAGGGAAATCGGCACCAAATTTGTCTGGGAAAGGTTCACTTTCCACAATTCAGAAGGGAGTGCACTAATCGGCTAACCTTGGACTCCATGGAAAATCGACTCGGCCATCACTTAATGACATTCGTGACGAAAGAAAATTCTCAAGCAGCAGTCGAAGCAAGACGTAAAAGTTGAAGGACCTTCGTGGGTGGTTGCTGCCAGGAAACGAACCGAATGTGACAACTGCTAGGATTCAAACTGTAGATGTGAAAGACGGGTCGTCGAAAATAATCGAAAAAATGTTCTTTTTTGAGAGACATTTCATCGATTACGTTTTACAAACATTATTTCGATACGCTGTTTCTATGTGTCTCCTTTTTACAATGAGGGAGCGTTCGAATGGTCGACTAATTGGAGGAGTCAGCAGAAAGTGAGTTTGCTGCTACTCCAAAAGGATACCACCCGCAAACCAGCATACCTTCCTTCATCCCTAATGGTTTGTATCTATCTACGCTCAATGGCTGGAAAGGCCTGCTACGGCCATCTCAAGATACCAGGATGAAAATAACGCCCGACCAATATTCCACATGTAGTGGGGAAGAGAAAATGACAATTAACGAACGGCCACTTTCCATTTCATAATGATCACTAAGAAAGTGTTCTAACCAGATAAAACACTTTTCTAGATAATTAAGCTGACATGAGGTGGATAGAAAGATATTTTTTCGCAAACGTTTCGACGTCTCCTTCTTGTTTGGAATCGCGTTCGTCTGAGTAGATGGATCCCGTTATCGCGTTGTGGGTGCTCGTTGTCGTATCAAGCCGAATCATCTGGAGTAGAGTACGATGCGACAACGAACATCAAGAACACGATAGCGACTAGTTGTGGACCTTTGACTCGGTCTAGCACAGGTCTTCGGAAAACGAAGACGTCGAAATACTAGCCGAATAAATATTTTCACACCCATAACATGACAGTTCTATAATCTAGAAAAGTGTTGACTATCGAGGTGCCACGACGAGGTTTAAAAAAATTCGATTTCTAAGATACCCTATGTATAGCGCAAAACTGTTTATTTGACTCCTATTTATTCATTCCTCCCAACGCCTTACCGCCTCATCGTGGTTGGGAGGTGTTCCTGGGTCGAACTGCGATGTACAGCGGGGGGAAAAGGAGTCCGGCATTTCCATCAGGAAACCTAGTTAAGAGTAAACCAATAACAGGATCCAGCACCGTCCTGGTATCAAAGTCGCATGGTGGTAAATCTCCCTCTGATCCACAAGGGCTGCGACTGCCAGTGGTGGTGAAGACCAGGAGCAGACTTTGGCCAGGCTGACCTCGGTATTCCAGGAAACCACAATGGCTTAACCAGTAAATCTCCGAAAAATGGTGATTAATGATTATTCCACAACTAGTGAGGATGGGCCGTTCGAGTAGTAAGTAAATAACTATTTATCTACTGCGTCGTTTCCTGCCCCTTTCGCACATCCTCGCAACGTAAATTGTGGATATTTCGAGCATTAAACACTCACAGTCAAAGACAAAGTCAACAATTTGTATAATTCACATTATATACTAGCAAAAGTAGGTAAGCAAGATTTTACCTAACTCCACATAAATATTTTTGTACTGGGATTGAAATTCTTTTTTTTAGAGTCGTGTAGGAGCGGGAATACTTTCCACCCGTTTCAGCCACTGTGGTAATCCTTTTCGAGGCATGTGAGCATATACTTTGACAACTAATTCGTTTCCAACTCTGAGTGAAACTAACTGAGATAGGAAATAATAAATCCATTCATAGTCAAAGTGGTTGTACTAGAGAACGCTCACACCTCTTGTTGTGTAGTGCTCTTTCCGCAAAAAACGGCCCTTCCATCCAAATTTCGTGTTCGATGTGTATTCCCTTGAGTCTCAAAGACAAAATGATTCTCGAAAGCCTCAATTAAGACTTCCGGGTTCCTATTGCGTATGCGTGTGTTTACATTTGAAAAACGTCTTCCAAACATTCTAAATATGGTATACGAAGTAACATGCTTGACACCGTCTCAAATATAACGGATAGGTGAGAAGAAGATAGTTTCAAAAAGATGATCAGGAACTGTTTCCACCACCAGCTAATTCGTAGCTTCAAGTTCTGATTCACTGATAGTTCGTGAGAATAAGAAAAGTCGGTATTATCGTGGTGCAGTTGCTACAGGAGCGGATTCTTACGTAGTATGAGCCACATTCTTTGCAGACGAGCAATGAAAGAATAGCACTAGTTTCGACGTTTTCAAAAGTTTTAGACGATAGAGATTTTAAAAAAAGGTGGTTTTCGCGGCTGACCATAACAACGAGAATCAAGATTTAGTCAAAATCCACAGTTAGAACCCCTGTTGGCACTTTGCTTGTTGAAATGGCTAAGCTTCATGAAAAACTTTTAATGTGGGGAAAACACATCACGAAAAGCACACCGAGCAAACAAATTAAAAGATAGTAGCAAGTACCCTTCTAATTCTCTTTCATACAGGAGGTCACAGAGCGTGAGATCATCAATTAGCCGAGGAAGCTTTTCTTTTAAAGAACATTTTGTCAAGCGAACAGTGAGAACTGCAAGCAACTTGTGGCTTGCAAACCGAAGAGGTCTTTAGTAAGAGATAGCTTTAGTACCCAACCCTGAAAATGCGCCTCTCCTCATATTCTCAATGATAACTCTGACTTTAGAAAGAAGAATGCTAAGTAATCTTTCCTATCTTTCGATTCGACTCTTCTGAACTGCTTGCAAGTTTCCCCCACCTGTACAGTTTTAGGCTCAATTACATATATATATATATATATATATATATATATATATATAAAAGATCCATTACAAAGAAAGGAAGCATGTGGCGCAGTGGTTGAAGGCGCCACTGCAATACACATGCGGAATCGATCCTCGCGCCCATGGCTCACCAAGCCTTCGATCCCTCCAGGGTCGGCAAATCCAACGATACTTAATGAATTCGAATGCATGGTGCATTCCTCAGAGATTGATCAACGCCGAGAGCTTTATCCTTTCATCCTTTTTTAATATAAAGATCTCCAGCAGCTTGCATTCATTACCTACTTGATGGTGAAAATGCGATAAAAAAAAAACTCTTCACGGAGTTACTGCAGGTTTTATTACTTCGCCCGCCACACATCGAGAAGACTCGACTGAGAATGTTTTCGTCATAGACGACTTATGTTTATCACACTCACAGCGATAGCTTCGTCGACTCGTAGCTGAATTAAATCTTCGCATGGAGAAGGCGGTGAATGGATAAAGTACTCCTGCACTGTAGACGGCACTACGGAGGCGTCACCATCTTTAGTTCTTGATAATGAAGTCGATCTCGGCATAAGTTGTGTTATTGATTTCGGGCTCATTTTCTTTCTTCTTAAAATATGAACCTCCACGAGAAAGGCGTTCTGGAGGCAACAGCTCACAAAAGGGTTTTATTCTCATTTAGGTCTTCTGCATCAAATTTTCCGAACTTTTGCTTTCCACAATTAGCGTTTTCTATTTTGACGATGAAGCCATCGACAACAATTTATAGAAAACTTCTTTGTGGACCACTTTTCCCAATTAATCATATAGAAAACATGTGTACTATGTTGATTTATGATGAAGAAACATAAAGCTGTCAAATGTTTGGTGATATTTCCATCTTCAGAGCCTCATAGATCTGGGAGGAGATTACCGCAGAAATAGAGTTTTCAGAAATCATCGCGTTCTTTATAATCGTCCCACGTTGTATGGAATGGGATTTATTTTCGAAGCAATCTAATAACTGTTTCAAAATTTCTACCGGGAGAAGGCTCAAAACATTGGTAAGAGTTGGTAAACAGTTTACAGTTGACGAATTAATCGCCGTGCAGGTTCTTACATGGTGCTGATAGCACAGTGGTAGTGATGTCCGTCATCACGAACATGGTGCTAGTCCGACTCCGTCCCGGGCCAACAACCAAGCTTCTCATCCCTCCGGGGTCGAGAAATTGGTGCTGGACTTGTTTGGAAAAAAATCACTTTCTGCAATCCAAATGGGAACGCTCCAGCCTGGCTATCTCAGCACTCCAGGGAGAATTGCTCGACTAGCATTCTACGACATTCAAGATGAAATTAAAATTCTCAAGCAGCAACCGAAGCCACACGTAAAGTTGGAAGACCTTCGTAGACAATGGATGCGATGAAACGAATCGAATGTGAGAAGTGTTGGGATCTACACAGTAGACACGAAGACAGGTTATATAAAATAAAAAACAGATTCTTACAATTTCTTGTTTGTCACACCGCTTCAAAATAGCAACGAAATGAGGGCTGATTTTGAGCTTGAAGATTACCAACATATTCGTCCTTACCTACCCCATTTGGTTGGCAGCATTTGTTTCAGAGTTAACAGAATTCATTTATGGGACACAAAAAACTGCTCCCAGGATCGACTTTCTAGTAACCTCGGCACTGGAATATGAATGCGTAGTTTTCTTGCTCAGCAATCGCGAGGTTGTTATACAGCATACATCCATAGAAAAACACAATACAATACAACAGTAGCTGACGTTTCGGCACTATCGCCTTCAAAGTTTGAATGGGTATACTGATATACAATTTACTAGGCCAAACACTTAGTAAATTTTTAAAAAGTGTTGGCCTAGTAAATTGTATATCAGTATACCCTTCCATGCTCTGAAGAAGGCGATACTACCGAAACGTCAGCTAGTGTTGTGTTGCATTGTATTTTTCTATGGAAGTAAATGTATGCTGTTTAACGAACTCGCGATTGCTGAACAAGAAAACGACTCAGCATACAAATAACGGCGTTATATATAATGCCTTCCAGTGGCGTGGAAAAATGGGGTTACATTCCATGCATAAAATCGTCCATTTATTACTTCGGCGAATGAAACCTAAATTGCTAAGCTCGATATTTGTGCAACCCGTAAGAAAGTAGTAACGACGTTCGATGAATTCGGCCTCACTCAATTAGGACATCGCAAGGACGAGCTGAGAGCTGGCCATGAGAGGCTCGGATTAGACTAGAGTGATGGCACAACAATACGCCCAATGAGACACAAACACATTAGAAATGAAATAACTGGGTAACAAGTCAAAAACAAAATTCTCTGAGATGTCCCCATGACATTTCCTAAAAGATATTTCCAAATTCTTCATGCATAATTCCTTAAGTGATATTCGATTCATTTAATGGAGAACGGGTTGGATAACGACGGATAGAAACTTGAGAACGAAAAAACAGTTTCTGCACTGAATAGGGATTTAACGAATACAACAATCACTAGTGTTTTAAAGCAGTAGCGAAACACTCCAGACCTTCAAATAATAGCGGTTTTTTGTAACTAATTAGAATTTCCTAAATTGGTTTCTTAATCAGAAATATTTCTCGATTTAATACAATCACGGTAAACCAGACGATCTCAAATATCGAGGACATGAACTGCCAAAGAATATTTGGTCGTGAAACTGAAGAAGAAAGCTACTGGGAACGGTCAAAGAAGAACAAAAAAGGCGACAATTCATTATCACAAAGGTTTAACAAAATGGAAAAGAAATTGGACAAACAGAACTTGAGCTGGTCTCCCACCCCCCACCAACCACAACCCCACAAAAAAATCAGATAGTAAGAGTAGGTTTGAAGAGTATTTCCGTATTTTGAAACATAAGAAATAACACTGCTTACAATCGTGCTCTCAACCCATCACTACAACATAAATATTCCTAGCATAAAACGTCATACTTAGAACAGAAAAATCATTGCTTAACTTCTTGAGATACAGAAGGTCTCATTGGATCGGACCCGCGTTAAGACTACAAAATCGGACGAAAACCTTTCCTACCTCTCGCTCGAGCATACGCGGCAGCAAGTGATGGTCGCCGATTGTCTAGCGGCAAGTCAGAAACCATACAGGATTGAGATTCGGAATCGTTGAGTGGAAGCCCGACAGCAGCACCTAAACCATAACTTCGCCACAGCTGTCAAAAGCATCAAACAATACTGGGTGTCGAACCTGCTGGCGAGACGTGCTTGAACGAAGCGGCTGCAGGCAGACCAGTAGCATCGGTGAGCTCCTTGACCAGTTGCCAGCCATTTAGAGCGTCGAGAATGTTGATGTAACCAGGGGAACCGTTTAGCACTAGGAGAAAATGGTTCGAAGAAGGCATTTTTGAAGTGGAACGCAATTAAAAATCAGGTTTGCAAATTCAACTTCATATCAACTGCGATCGATTGTTACCATTTCAAACCCTAATCAATAATATATCCACTAAGTAGAAAAACAGGAAAACGGTATTGCAGTGGTAGTGATGGCGATCATCATGGGAACAGTGCTGGCTCGACACCGCCCTAGGCTCACTAAGCCTCTGGTCTTCCCAGGGTCGGAAAATGGTACCAAACATGTCTACGAAAATTTCACTCTCTGCAGTCCAAGTGGAAGCGCTCTAGCCCGGCTAACTCGGAACTCCAGGGAGAATCAACTCGACAGGCATTCAACGACGTTCATGATGAAGGGAACGTCCCGAAGCAACATCGAACCTACACGTAAAAGGTTGGAAGACCTTTGGAGATTGGAGGTTGGTTGGTTGGTTGGTTTTCGTGGATTATGGATGAGAGAAAACGATTGGAATGCGAGTGCTGGGATTGGTACGGCAGATGTGGAAAACGGTGTCTAAAAAGAGGAGCAAAAAATGACTTACAAAGTACAAAAAAATGGCAGAATTCTTTTTGATGATGTATGAGATGTATTGATGATGACTTGAGAATAAAAAGAAAACTAAGGATAACCAGCACTAGGAAAGAAACATAAAAGAAACTGGAAATGATAGTTGTGATTACGAAAATGAGGAACAAACAGGTAAAAATAGGTGAAATAGATTCCTTTTGGTCTTACAGGATATGCGAACGTATCCACATCCTATGATCTGCGAACACTTCTTATGAAAAGAAGCACCGCGGAAACAGAATTTTTTTTTGGGAATAAAGAAGAATGGAAAGGTACAAAAAACATGTTAGAGCTACTAGTTCCGGTTTAGAACGCTTATTATTTCAAAACAGTTACTTAGAGGGCGGATAGCACAGTGGTGGTGATGTCCTTCATCTCGAGCATGGTGCTAGTTCGATCCCGTTCCGGACCAACCAAGTCTCTCATCCCTGCGGGGTCGAGAAATTGTTTGCGGACTTGTCTGGGAAAAAATCACACTTGCAATCTAATTGGGAACGCTCCAGCTCGTCTATCTCAGCACTCCAGGGAGAATTGCTCGACCAGTATTCTACAACGTTCAAGAGGAAATGAAAATCTTCAAGCAGAAACCGAAACCACATATAAAGGTGGAAAATCTTCGTGCACAGTGGATGCGAGGAAACGAATCGAATGTGGGAAGTGCTGGGATCCTTATGGTAGACGTGAAGGCGAGTCATATAAAATAAAAGAATGGTTACAAGAAAATTTGAAAATAAAGCTATCTTGGGAGACGATCATTACATCGAGATGATCGCTGCCCATCGATAAGTGTACATATTTATGAGCAATATTTCACGGATGACAGTAATAAAAATACTTTGTATTCATCAAGAAGTTAATCCCCAAATATGACCACGATTTACGTCCCACAAAGAAACCCCAGAGGAATGCAGAAAGATAAGGACAACACTGAATGTGAAACTTAAACTCACCTTTAATGGGCATTTTTTCTTCGACTATGTATACTTCGGCATCCGGCTTTTGATGAGGATTTGTGCCTGAAATTTCCATAACGTCACTAAGGAGAAATTTGTTGCCTAAAATACGCCACATGTTGAAATACTACATGAAAAGCCTCCTTGACTAGTATTTTATCCTTTTCACCTATTTCGCAATTACTCCACTATTCGGCGTGAGGAAAGCGCAGTGATTACATATGCAGTGCAATACCCGCACTGTCGCTAGTTTGACACCAGACAACCACGCGCCCATTCCAATCCTCCAAGGTAGGAAAAGTGGTGTCAAATTTGTCTGTGAATATGTTTTCTCATCAATAAAGGCCTTCGACTATCTATGATGAAGATATGTAAACGTTCTCTCAAAGCTATCATAAATTTCCATAGACTCTACCGGCACTCAACATTTATGAGAAAGAGAAAACCCCCAATTAGCAGCAGACCACACATGCAAAACCAAAGACTTTCGCGGGTGATGGAAGCACGACAACGATGCGAATGAATGAATAATGTGGAGTGCAATCATATAAATAAATAAATAAGTTCCACGTTATACAACACTAACAGATGACAACATATTCAACGAACGTTGTCTTTCGAGGGCTTACGATGTCTAGACGCATAAAGATGGGTACCAAATCCGTGATAAATTCTCACTTAACTTCTAGAGTATAACTATCTACCAATAACATGCTCACTGCTGGCTCTCCTACCACAACCAATAGATCTCATAAAAGGAGAAGAAAAGCAACAATCATGAGAATATGCAACTAAGTCACTTGAAGAGGAACTAATGCACTGATACAACCTGAATGTGCAAGAAAATTCGAATATTGTAATCTCATTTGAATAAAAGAATGCACTGAGTAAAGTCCACTCTGATTTCAGAGAATGCTGTATGAAAATCGGACTCACCGTAAGATAGATATAGCGAACTTTATATTCATAACCAATACTACACTATGAATAAGAGTACCGTATCTAAGAGGAAACGATTGCTCTCCATTGCCGGCAAACTGTCTTCGCATGTAACCACTGATTGACTCGTCGTACGATGCTGTGTGCTCGAATGCCTTAACACAAGTGGAGATCTGATAGAAAATTACTCCAAAAAACAGCTATAAAAAATATCTGGATGAGAGCCAATCATTTTTTTTCTATGTAAGTTGCATTCTTTTCCAATATTAGTTAGTTCTAAGCTGTTTCAGTTTAATTAGCCACACAAAAACCACTACAAAATCATGACACGGAATGAATTGATGGGGATAAATAAGAGCTAAAATAAATGGAAATATCACGAGTAGCTAGTAACGTTGTAAAGTCTGATATTCTCCATTTTGAAACACTTAAAAGTAAAGACAACGTTGAAAATGCGGTCAGATATCTATGGGCTGAACAAATCTCGTTTTCCATATCTTTCAATTGTTCATTGGCTTTCAAGGTAATAAACCATGAAATTCTCGCCAATATTGCGATACGCTCGAAAGAACTCAACAAACAATCTCATTGGACCCGGAAGTGCTCAGGAGACAACCATGAAGCTTCGAATGTTAAGGCTTCCTATTCATCTTTACACGATTTAATATGAGACGACAAGAACAAAATTGGTTTCCTTTCTAGAACATTCGAGTTATTTTAGAAAGCGTTCTCATTAATGCGTGTTTGATATAGGCAAATGTGGCCCTTAAGCCAAAAAATTCGTTTGAAATAAGCAGTTAGACAACGGGTCAACGAACCAACTAGTCAACGAGCTGGGTTGTGTCTGTGTTTCAATAGAAATCCTTTCAAACACAGCTTGACTGGATTCAGAAAAATCCCCCCATTATTCAAAATAAGAATAAAAGACGTAAATGATGAATGAATCGTTTAGGGATTATTACCAACATTAGAGCCTTTGTTTCAATGGCAGGATTTCGTCCGGAATTTTAAATCAGAAGAAAAAGATTCCGATCATTTCCGATATATATCAATTTCATGTTATTGACTCATTCGAAAGCCGACGAATAACCCAATAACAGATAGCAAAGGCCAGATTTAGTTATCAGAATTACTGAAGGGATCCTATAAAGTAGTTGAATACTTTAGAACGAGGATACAGCTCGTATGTTTTGGTGGATACTGTTTTTCCCGCCCTTTCTGTTATAGATAACGGTTTACCGCCCCATCGTGGCTGGGAGGTGTTCCTGGGTGTCGGACTGCGATGTACAGCGGGGGATTCATCCTTTGGCAGTGTCTCCCAAGCTGAAAAGAAGCCCGGCATTTCCATCAAGAAACCTAGCTAAGAGGAAACCAATACCAGGACCCACCGGTGTCCTAGTATCAAAGTCGCATGGTGGCAAATCTACCTCTCATCCTCAAGGGCTGCGGCTGCCCACGGTGGTGAAGACCAGAGGCAGACTTTAGCCAGGCCGACCTCAGGATTCCAGGGAACCGCAAAGGCTTAACTAGCAAGTCTCCGAAAAATGGTGATTATGCTGGAGCCCGCACAACCAGTGAGGACGGGCCGTTCAAGTACTAAATAAGTTATACATAAACACAGTAATTCTAATGAACGACGAATCAAAACAGCGATCTCTGTACCTCATATTTTCTTCGGTTCGACACTTTTGTTCATCACTCTTAATTACATATATATCACAGATTATCTTGTCTTTTCATTAAATATCGGTGTACGTCTTAGAATCCTAACTGAAAGGATAAAAGTCGAACTTTAATCAATTCATAACATCATGCATTTATATAACCTTAAAATTCACGTTGGGAATTCAAATATCTGGAAGCTCAACGGTGTTATAAGACCAACCTTAGTGTGCGATTTTCCTCTCGGATACATCTTGTCGTAGAGACGGGAACTTGATTGGGATCGTGGTTTGTCGTCAGAGATGGGCTGTCGGAACCGTTTATAGGCCATTGATGAAATACGGGACATCTTCAACTTAGAGAATTGGATAGAGTGTGGAACAGGCTTCTTGGAAGATCTTTCCTAGGGAGATATGGCGAAGTAAATGAACAATTGCGAGTTTCGTTCGTTAAAAAAAACAGCGGTTGGGCGAAATCGCGTCGACCGCAATGTCATCACTCGAAAAACAACCCTTCACTTCGAGCGCTGTGTCTCTTCAGCCAACACTCCGTCGTCAACGAATACGACGAACCAATTAATTGCTTCGTGCTGAACTCGCGGCCGATGACGAACCTATAAGAGGACATGGACGGCATTCAACATATCCTAAGCGGTTCCTAAACCTTTACTAGCAAGCTCTCCGTCGGTGAAACACCTGATGAAGAATGATGGAAACCACGAAAGAGAGTGAAAACGGGTTTCGAAAAAGGCGAGATGCTAGGACAGTTAGTAGGGTATTATTAGATCACTTACGCCGGGTTTAAGTGGGAGACGTTCTTTTGAAGTAAAACCTTCCCCTCTTCTCCAAAGAATAGGTGACCTAACTCAAGCAACTGATTGTGTCTCCGT